ACAAGAGTGCCCCACAGTTTCCTACAAGAGTGTCCCGCAAGAGTGTCCCACAAGAGTGTCCTTCAAGAGTGTCCCACAAGAGTGTCCTTATAGAGTGTCCCACAAGAGTGTCTCACAAGTGTGTCCCACAAGAGTGTCCTACAAGAGTGTGCTACAAGAGTGTCCCGTAAGAGTGTCCCACAAGAGTGTCCTACCAGAGTGTCCCACAAGAGTGTCCTACAAGAGTGTCACGTAAGAGTGTCCCACAAGAGTGTCCCGCAACAGTGTCCCACAAGACCACAAGAGTGTGCTACAAGAGTGTCCCTTAAGAGTGTCCCACAAGAGTGTCCTACAAGAGTGTCACGTAAGAGTGTCCCACAAGAGTGTCTCACAAGTGTGTCCCACAAGAGTGTCCGACAAGAGTGTCCCACAACAGTGTCCCACAAGAGTGTCTCACAAGAGTGTCCCTTAAGAGTGTCCCACAGCCGCAGTTGTGGATTTCTCTGTATTATGTGGACGGTTATCATTTTCAAGTGCTTCTTTTCGAGGTTTTGGGACAATGCCATTGTTTCTTTCGTGATGTGGATCTGCCAGAACCTTTACGCCAGTGCTTGATTTGAATGCAAAACATCTACCCTTCATGACGAAGACGGAGCTTGGTGGTGAAGTCCCCAGCACATGCTGCCTTGGTGGTGGTTTCCCCAGCGCATGATGTCCAACAGCGTACCGGAGTGTGAAAAAGATAATCTAACCGGCTGTGTCTCTTTCTATACGCAATGGATTGACATATGTGTTTGCATTCGGGTTCGTGGGCTCCATCTTGTTTTTTTTCCCGGTGGACCGCGGATCCACGGAAGAGATTCCCTGTTCCCAGCCCATGGATGTCAACCCAGGGTGAGTTCTGGATTAATGGGTGCCATGACCCATTTGGCCAATATGGTTGGTTCGGAAACTAGAGTCTGTCTACCCATAGAAAAAGCCCATGGATCGGGGGTCCCCAAATGAAAAATAACAAAACCATACTGCCTGGACCAACCTGCGTGGTCCTTCGCTCCAGGCAGTGACAGGGGCCACGGGTGCAGTGGCCAAGCCACTGCAGAAGGCGCGTTCGAAGCGAGGAGCGAATTCGCTCACCTGCATGTTGACCGACCAGAAGTAGTGGTTACAGACTTACAAGTAGTAATTGTGTTGTCATTGTCATGTATTTAAGTAAAAACATTGTAAGTCTGTCAGTGTAAGTGGTACCATTAGTTGAAGTCCAAATCTTTCAATTAGTAAGTAGTCATCCTTTTTTGGGGGGCGTCCAAAAGAGCCCAGCCATTGTGTTTGCATGGGGCATCTTCCCGTGCTCCCTCAAACCGATTGGAAGACCGTCCTTCACTCACCAAATGTTGATCAGCACCGTTCACCGTAGAGTCGGACCATTTTGGAGACCCGTGGGGGGGTGCTGTTCGGATTTCAACGCTATTGGACTGCATTCCACTGGGAGGTTTCGAATCGAGGTTCGGATTGGCCCCAGTCAGAAGTTTGTGTTGGAAGCTTGGGACGAGTTTGTGGAGTTTTTCGGTGTCAACCGATCCCAAGAGTCCAAGAGATCAAGCCCAATCATCCTGAACAACCGGTCGAACGTATGCAGGTAGAGTTTCCCCTAGAACACTGAGGAGATAGAGAAAGGAAAGGACATGCCAGACACTAGCACTTGATATCTTTTTAATCTCCACACTTGCAGGCTGGTGCCATGATTCAGAGAAACCATTACATTAAACATCATTGCATATCCATATCTGACTTTTCAACCCTGCTGCCATACATGCCAACAATTCATGAGGTTGGCCTAACATCTGTGGGATCATTGCCCTATATTTCCCCTGCAGCTGTATGCAGCATGGAAAAAGGATGATTCCTGCAGGCGCAGAGCGACCTCGAAGAGAAGATTCAGACGGCCAGACCGTTGTTTTTTGGCGTTGTTCGTTGTGTGGTGCGCTTTTGCTTCTGACCCATGGCAGTCAGGGACTAAACTCAGGCTGGCTAGAGATAGCTGTCTGTCCAACAAGTGAAGAACCGTTTGCATACGAAAGTAGGCTTTGAAGATGCAGATCTTTTTTTCCATGAACAGTAGTAACTCGGCGCTTTTTTCCCCTCTGTCCTCTTGTCCATCCATGTAGATGACATTGACCACCTTTCGCTAATCCAGCTTTGGCATGTTGCTGGGCTCAAGCCTGCGACCACCTCCACTCGTGCTGCTCTGTCGACCCCAAAAAGCTCCGTCCGGACCAAATGGCGTTGTCCCAGAACGAGAACATCCGAGTGGAGGCAGCTCTTTGGATCGCTTCGCCGTTCGCAATCCGCTGGAGATCCGTTTTTTTGGGGTGTTTGCCCAGTTCCGTTTGAAACGATGGGTGAGGACCGGAGAAGCGGGGCTGCAAGATCGGGGCTTGGATACTTTCGAATATATAGGGATTTGTTTTTTGCTTTCTATCAGAGAGGACGAGGCGTCTGCAGAGAGAAAAACAAGCAGTCGCAAGCGGAATAGCTGGATCTTCACTGAGAAGAAGTTGGTTGTATGTTGGTGGCCTTTTTTGGGCGACTTTGACACTTCTGCGGCCAGTCTGAGACCTGGCAAGACAAGATGAAGGCCGGGCTCAACCAGGGCTTGGCTTTGGTGCAGGAGCGGGACTGAGAAGACCCGGGTCCAAGCGCGCCAGCGTGAAAGGGGTGGGTGGAAGCTGCAAGAGACTCGGGCCTCGGGCTTTGACAAGCCACAATATCCGAATCGAACTCTAGAGCAGTTTGAGTTGCACACCAACTCTTAGAACCAATCATACTGGCACACAGCGGCATACATGTGCGTTCATACAATTTCATACATACATGGAGAGCTCTTGTTGTTCTTGTGCTCTTACCAGTAGTTGGAGAAGGTCAAACGAAGCACCCTTTTGACATCTCTTGGATCAGACGTTCCAACTTCAATGCCTTGTCATTGACTTCCCGAAGCGAAACATTGAATGCCGTGTCCCAGCCTTTGCAAGAAGGAACCACAAACTCTGCTGCGAGATGTGCCGAGTTGTTCTGGCATCGCCTTGAAGACTCCCATATGCTTACATATGCTGAAACATGCCCTTTTTTGTCTAGTACCAAAAGAGGAGTAGCATTTTTGAGGGTGTTCTGAGAACATTGAAGCCAAAGCAGTTGAAGACTTGAGGACACATCTACTGTTGATCTTATACGGCAGGTCACTAGGACCATCCAGGACTCCAACGTCCTGAGAATTGGACCTTGAAGCACCCTCGTAGAACTCGAGCCGCAGCGGTAAAGCCGTAAGACGATTAGAAGTAACGAGTGATATCCAGACCAGGCGTTACCCCCTGAGGCTCCTGGCCCACATCCTCAGAAGGCAGTTCGACCCCCCTGGCACCCACCCCACCTTCTTTTCGGATGTGTTTGGAGACCTACGGAACCGTCCTTAAGTTCACAGACTTCCAGATCCAAGTTTCGGGGTTCCATCGGCCTCGTCTCGGCTGTGGGCCCCGACCCGGGCCCGTGGGACGGGCCGAGGGATGGCGCGCGGTCGCGTTCGCCGGGGCGAGCGATGGGAACTCTTAGACCCTTTGGATCGTTTCGCTTATGGAGTCGGGTGCCCGGTCCCGGATCGATGTTTGGGAGAAACCCGGTGACCCGAACACACGGCCTCCCTTGGGGGAGGGTTTAGTCCGAACACACGGTGCACGGTGTGAAGACTACCATCGTTGGCTCTGGGAGGAGCAAGCGCAGAAGGGCTATGACGCCACCAAGGAGCGCGTGAACACCGCACGAGCGGGACAAGAGCTCTTGGATAAAGGTGCGACGTGCAGAGGACCAGGGGGATGTTTGGTCTGGATTGCTTGCTTGGCAGACGCGCGGAATCATCGGGTGGATTTGGGTTTTCCCGGTTCCTGGGTGAAGGTGCTGGCATGGGGAATATCTTGTATTTGGGTCCGGGTTCCGAATTAGCAAATCCAAGATTGACAGGTGACAGATTGGAAGGTGATTGGAAGCGACCTGGTGCTGCAATCAGCTGGGGTCAAGACATGTCAAGACAGGAAAGGCGGAAAGGACTGTATTGGAGATTGCATTCTATGACATGTTTGTGTCTCTCTCTCTCTCTATATATATATACCAGCAGTCACAAAGGGGTGCTTAATGGAGGTTAGGGGTGCCCAGAACATCCACTCACTTGAGGACTAAACACCACCCAACTCCATGTGACTCCTGGTAAATACACACACTCTTCTTTTGGGGCAAGCCCTAGGTTTCGGACCCTGCTCGGCCAGCGGGTTTTCGTTGCGTGCGCTCCGTCAGACCCGTCTGTTCTCCTCGGGTAGGTGGCGAGGCGGCGGAGAGCGCCATCCGCGCCAAGATGATGTCCAAGGCGCCCGGCCAGGGAGAGGGGCGCCCCCCAGAATCACGGCATAAGCGCTTTGCGCGAGAGAAATGGACGGCGCAAAGATTGTTTCCAAAGATTGGAATTTCCAAGGACATCCAAAAAGCCTTCAAGATAGTAAACACACACTTATTGATATGCGTACTGACTCGATTGCGGTTGCCACACGCCAGCCTAAGTAAACCGCCTAAGGGTGCGGGTAAGATACAAAAGCCCTCATCGTCTCAAAGCTTCCAGAAGGTTTCAAGAGTTCAAGTTGGCAAAGCACGAAAACGAACAACGGCGACAGGTTGACGACGTTCCGTGCAAGTCTGCGGAACTCATTAGCACTTTACATCACCTGATGGGCCTGCAAAACAGCCTGAGCGAGGGAGACCACTGGAGTCAATGTGTTCAAAGCAGGTACACGGAGGTGATCAATCTCCGCTTCCCCAATCGTGGAGCAGCTTTGTGGGAACAGGTATCCACGATGGGCCTGTGCCCCCTGCAACAAATCCAACTGGATCCCTGTGACTCCAAAAGGTACACACACACACAAACGCCTTCCGTTAAGGGAGGCGAGAAAAATTCAGGCTGCGACTGACGACATGAAAGGAGGACGAGACAGACCGTAGGTATGTGGTTGGATGGGAATGTGCACGTACATACTAAGGCCAGGACCAGTGTGGGCGCAAACGAAAGAAGGGATGAGATGACAAGACATGAAGACAGGGAGACATGGAAGAAAAGAGGAAAAGAGAGGTGTGTGAAGGGGACAAAGATGAAAAGGGAACCAAATGGAGGGACAGGAGCAGATGACACCAAACCTCATTGAAAACTTGTTGTGACTGCTTCGTCAGTATGTAAGCACGCCGCGCACGAGGGAGGGAGGGGAGGGAGAGAAGAGAGAAAAGAAAGAGAAACAGAAAAGGAAACGACGGTGTTCCCAGCTACGACACAAGCGTCCAAGGACACACCAAGAGAAGAAGAGAAGGGTTCCCAGCAATGACAGCAGCATCCAGGGACACCCAGGCAAGAAAGAAAGGGGAGGAAAGAAAGAGAAAAAGAAGGAGAGAGAGAGAGAGAG